GGCCCCAGTCTCTCAACAGGCACTCCACTACTGCCATTCACCGTCCCGCAGAAGGGATGGTTTGGGACCTTTAACACCACCCCAAATGCAGGAGAAAGCCTCGCCAGCCCTGCTAGCTCCAGCAGCGTGGTAGGCTCGGTATGCACAGGACAGCCTTCATCCGGTACACAAGCAGAACTAGACCACGTTATAACACAAACAGGACGTGATCATAGCTTTAATTAGAGCACAGACGAGGAATTTATAGGCACTGCAATCCTTAAACACCGTGCTCTTTCTTTTCATCAGTAACTGAGAATTAAAAACAGATCCAACTGGCTCCTGCGCTTTTACCGCGACCGTACTTGACTGAATTATTTAGATCAAACCCGGTGTTGACATCACTACTCCCACAACCTCCAGTTTCACTGGGGCCACAGGCAGTTCATTTTACAGGGAGATGCACTTAACCACTTCATGGCTGGAAAGCCACAAACACCCGTCCAGGGAAGGCATTCAGATGGTGGATCTGGCTGCCCCTTTTCGAGGGCGGATGAGGAAAAGACTGTAAAGCCTGCCCCCCTACCCATGAAGTGCAGAAGCTAACTCCTGCAAGAGGCTTTTTTTATGCATTTATTCCCATTGCTCAGAGTTTAATCAAGTTCTCTTTGTGCGTATAAGCACGAAGACAATGTTTGTGTGTCTATTTATTCTGGCGTCAGATCACTCCTGGAGAATCTCATCCAGACGGATTTACCGGTGGCAAAACCATCAGTACTGAGGAACACGGGACGCAGCCACATGAACCCTGACCCTTTCTTAATTGAGACTTTTTCTTAATTGAAATACTTTTCTTATTTGAAACACTTATGTTTTAGTAACTAAGTATCGAGGCTTTTCTTTTAACCCCTCTAGGTAAGGGAAAAAGAGCAGCGGAGGCGCAGCATTGCACACAAACGCTCCCTGAGAAAGCACCGAAGCAGCGCCAGGGCCCCGATCCCAGTGCCAGGCTCAGACGACTTGACTGAACGGCGTGTTTGTACAACTCCTTCCAAAAGCAGGCAGCTATCCACCAAGCCCCATTCAAGTGCATTCACCAGCGCACTGCTGACCCCGCGCAGCCCAGGCCCGAAGTCAGGAGCTGTGCTGAAGCTCCGCGATCAGCTGCTAACGAACTGGCGCCGAATCAGACGCAAGCTCGGCTTGTCCTCGGTGTGCTGAAATCCATTATTCACATTTAATTTAATTTCAGCCTTCTCTGGGGCCAAATACAAGGTATGATTTCTCAGAGACCTCCTCGCGGAAGCCTTTTGCCCCCCGTGCTGCAAACAGAGGGCCGAAGCTGCAGCAAACAACAGCCACAGGTCGGGAAGGTGGCGCCTGGAATTCAGCTACCCACCACCAGCACACGTACCGTTGCTTTAATAGCGTTGAACGAGGCCCCAAAACCAAAATTGCCTGGCTCCTCCACTACACACACACCCCACGCTGCGGAGCTGCCGAAGAAGCCCTGTGAATTACGGAGGGACACATCCCGAGAGCTGCACCTCGCAGGGAGGGAAGGACATGTAACATCACGCAGCCGGAGCTTGCTCAGTTCCACAAACACATGTTAAATCAGGGTTTTATCTTTATGGAATCACAGCCACACTCCTCCCTCCCAAAGAAGCCAGCTCGCATTGGAAGTCGGAAGACACGCAGCATTTCCATACCTTAACGTCTGCGGAGCTGGGGGGTTATTTAAAACCCAAATCACAGCCTTTGTACGCCTTGTGCTACGAGCAATGAAAACTCTGCAATCCAAATTTACGAAGTAACACGTCTGTTTTTGCCTGAGGTAGAACAAATCTCAGTTCACTTCTCCACAACTCCACTGCCACACGAAACGTTTTCGGCTCACCGATGAAACGCACATGTGAAAACCCCAGGCCTTAAGAGTTCTTATTGCAATTTCACTTCAAGATCATTCTTATTATTGTAAACCATACCTGGACACAAAACATACTTAACGTAGGAGAGAAATTAAGTTTTAATTAAAATTATGTGTAATTTTAAGTTTAATTAATTTTGATTTTGAGCTTATTTTTCTTTTCCAAACAACCCTGTTTTAAAGAGGACTACGCTACTGAAAAGAACAGCATCACTCCCATGAAAATTAGTTGTAGGTTCCTTCAAAGACACACAATAGTACCTCTATGATAGTCAGAAGCCATAGAAAAAGGAATTCAAACAGAACTGGGTTTATTTAAAGGCCCGCTATGCAAAACCCAGGGGTCTGCATAGGACAGCCAGGTGCACTTCCACTGCCCTAACTGAAGGAACACAGGTAGCACCAAACAACAAAACCTTTCATTTTTACTTTGTTTTCACCACGTATCCAACAGCCTGACGACTCAGTTGCCTCCAGGAACACACATCACCTCGGCTGGAAGTCTCCAAACACACAGCACACGGAGGGCTCCTGGCAGCGGGACGGGCAGCGAGCACCCAACTCACTGCAGAGCCCGTGCGTCCTCCTGCCACGCTGCCAGCCCTGCGGACAGCCCCGAGCCCCAGCAGCCCGTACCTGCAGGCAGCACGGCCGCTGCTCCACCTGAAGCTGCCGCCTGGCTCCGAACCCAGCGCTGCTCCGCTCCCTGGCCTAAATCTCCTCTCTGCAGCAGCAGCCACAGCACCCGGCTCAACTTCTCTCACCGCTCCTTCACCCGGAGGCGCTCTGCCAGGCTCTGCACGCATCCACCCCTGGGCTGGGACCTCCTCGCCTGCTTTTAAACCACCGCACGCCCCCCAACGCGGGCAGAGCCGCTCACCCCAGGGGCACACACGCTGCCCAGGCGTGCTGAGGCCAGAGCCCTCACCTGCCCTGCCCGGAGGCACAGCGCAGGGCCCCGGCTTCCAGCAGCCCCGAGCCCGGCTGGCCCTCAGGGGGAGCCTGGGCCGCTCCGGATCCGCTCCGGATCCGCTCGGAGCCCGGTGCAGCCCCAGCAGAGGGGCTCCGTGCCGGGCCCTGGGGCGCCGCCCAGCGAGCCCCGGCCCTGCCGCGGCCCCCGGCGCCGTTCAGCGGTGCTGATCCCGGGGGGGGGTCGCGGTGCCGGTCCCGGTGCCCCCCTACCCCGCTCACCTCAGGGTGCCGACCCCCGCGGAGGCTCCGCGGCCCCCCCCGGCCTGGCGCTAGGCAGCGGCGCTGCTGGGGGCGCGGCGCGGAGCCCCCTCCCGCCACCTCCGGCCAGGCCACGCCCCCGGCCACGCCCCCCTCCGGGCGAGGCCCCGCCCACCGGCCCCGCCCACCGGCCCCGCCCCGCCCCGCCCGCGCGATGGTGTGATGCGGGGGGTTACCTGGGGTCAAGCGCCTCGAAGCCCCCCTCCCCTCCCGCGCCGCTCTCATTGGTTCGCCGCGGGCGCGCAGCGGGGGGGCGTGACCAATGAGAGGGGCGCGGGGCGCCGAGGGGCGGGGCTAACGAGGAGACGCCCATGGCCTGAGCGGCCGGCTGGGCGCGCCCACTGTTTGGGGAGAGGGGGGGGGGAGAAGGGGGGAGCCGCGGGCGGCCTGGAGCCAACCACTGCCGGCCGCGGGGGGCGCCGGGAGCGGGGGCTGTGAGGCGGCGGGGTCAGCGCCCTCAGCGCCGCGGCCGCCCAGGGCATAAACGCCTTTATTTGTGCCCCTGGAAGGCTGCTCGGGGCATAAACGCCTCTATTTGTGCCTCAGGACCCCCCATTTTACACAAGGGGCTGTAAAAGGTGGCTGTGAAGGGCAGCTCGCCACACGCAGCGCCAGCCCCGCTGAGGCGCCGTGCCCCAAACCCCACACGCAGCTTACCAAAGCGGGGATTGCGCCAGGTTCGCGGTGCCCAGGGCTCTCGGCATCCTAAATCATGCCCAAACCTGCCCGCCGCGGCCATCCCGTCAGCCAGGGCTGCGGGAGGGATTGCCACACGGCGCGGGGTGTAGCAACGCGGCCGGGGGAAAGAACGCCAGGAGACGGCAAATGAAATCCATCAATGTTATGGGCGGATTGGGAAGGTGCTTTTGAAATGGAACCCTAACAGCAGCTCGGAGGGCCGTAAAGCAGCACCTCGGTTATCCCCGTAACGCTAATGCTACGGCCTTTGCACAGAGTCCCAGCGCACAGCACACAGGAGGGCAGTTAATGCACAGACACGCAGCACAGAGCCCTTCCCAAAGCATTATCTGAGTTTTACACAAGCAAATAAAAGCTTTGGATTTGGTGCGTTTCGCAGCTGCGCTTCCCTACTGAAGCAGCAACAACATCCCTTCATTGTGAATGGGTATCGGTGGGCGATGTTTTACAAGGAAGTGCAGTTTGGGAGGAATTGCAGTAAGTGAATTAGATGTATACTGCAGGGTAAGGTGCCCCCAACAACAATTATTAGCCATGCTGACTGAAATCCTGCACTTGGGACAGCAGCTGAATGTTGCTGTGACTTACACGGGAACAGAAACGGGTTCTCATTTCTTTCAGTTCCAGACTGAAGTAGTTAAAAAGGACAGTGCTCGAGCTTCAAATTGTAGACAGCAGGAACGTGTGCTTCAATCTGAGCATCCTGCTTCACAAAGCTCAGACTACTTTGCAATGGCAGGGGATTTACAACTGTAACCACGATTCTGCTTCTTGGGGGGCAGGAGATGTTGCTTAAATCCATGTCCCCTTCCCACTGTGTTTGGGAACCGGACACAACACGTTACTTACTTTCACGCGACTTACAGCACACACGCTGTTTACGTGTGGAACCCCTCCCCACACACACAGTTGCTCAAAAAAGCAAGCATAGCCTCAATAATGCAAACCAGTCATATCAGAAAAAAGCAGGGGAAATGTTATTACCTTTTATGACGCCAAGTCTGGGCTCCATGTCTCTTCCCCAGGCGCTGATAACGTCACTAGTGCAAACACGGGACAGATCATCCTAGGTTAGGGGGGTTAGTGACACCATGCGTCCTGGCACGACTCCTGTCCTGGCAGGCAAGAAAAAGAGAGAAGGGTCAGATGGCTTTTAAACCCCAAATCATCTTTCATTTAGGAAACACCACGGAAGATTTGAAATATCAGAAAAGAAATGGTAGCGCTCGCAACGCTGACAACAGCTGCCTGTTTACCAGGATAATCACAAAATAAATCTCCTTCTCTCCAGTCAGCAGGTGAACAGCCACTGCTAACTCCGTCCGCAGGATGTGCTATTAGTCCTAAGCTTTCTTACAGCTTCAGGCAGTGCCCTAAATCATCTCGTAGGACTGCAAAGTTCGGCTTCTCTTGGCATTCCCAGCCCAGAAGAGAAGCAGCAGACCGAGTCACGCAGCAAAAGTGAGCGCTGGGGCTGCGAGGTGAACAGGGAATAATGGTACTGGTCAAACACATTCCAAATGAACATTTAGTTGTTTGAAATTGCTTAAAATCTAGTTCTCTTTTTAGTATTTTTGAGTTTTTATTTACCAGGCTGACAAATTTGGGATTCCTGATGGTTTCTATCTCAAGAATAATAACAGATTCGTTCAACTGGGAAATCATTTCAATCCTGATTTGCAGCTACGTGTTTATTCTTCATACTGCACTTGGAGGGGAGGGAGCGGGTTTATACTTCTCAGGAAGATTCAAAGTGTTACTTTTACACCGGAAAATGGTGAATGGCATCCTTCTATATTGATTCTTTATGATTGGTCTTCTCCAACCTTACTGACTCTGTGACTCTGTAACGCTTAGAGGCAGGTTGTGTTGAACCTCTGGACTAGGAGCCGTTTGAAAACTCAGGGGGTTGTTTTAGATTCAACAAAAATATTCTATCCTTCCTTCTGTGACCGGGACGTTAACCTGTGGCTACTCAGCATTTCAAAGTCAGAGGCTCTGGAGGAAAAAATGATTTCCATCGCCACCTTGCGTCTAACTCAGAAAACTCCAGCTCCCCAAACCAATGCATACACTGCACCGTGTCACCCAGCAGCACCCCTAGCTCTGGGGGCAGCCCTCCTCCTGCCATCCTTGCCCTGTCCTTGGCACTTTGGGGCTTCAGCATTGACCTGAAGAGCCCTGGGGGGCCCTGGTTGCCCCGGGCAGGGCGCGCCCGGTTCTAGAAGCAGCCGAGCCCCCAGTGCTCAGCAGCCCCCAGCACCCCGAGCCCTCTCGGCTCTGGGACTCACCGCTGGGACCAGGCTTTGTTTGGGACGTGCCTATCGGAAGGACATTTGGCTGACAGATAAGGCTTTCTCCAGGCCCGTTTCTTACCAAACTGCACACCTCTGCTGCTTGGAGCAGAGCTGGGAAGCAGCACGGCCTGCAGTGAGTTGACACTGACTTTAACCTCTCCATGTATTGACCATCGTACAGGTGCTGGAGCTTTCAGCAGGAGCCTACGATCCCAGAGCTGTTCCGGGAGCTCTTCTAATCAGCACGGTATCTGCCTGAACACCTCTGCGGCGATACTCGGAGGAAGCAGTAAAGATAAAAAGGGCTTCGAGACTGTGAGGAGCAGATGCAATCATGGTCACGATATTAATATTTAGCTTAGTGTTTGCACACACCAGGCTCATCAGAAGAGGTGAGTTGCTCACATAGCTGCAAGCTCTAACTGAATAAAGATTTTGTAGGAGACTAACTTAAAAAATGTTAGTAATAAATCCATTTATGTGTTAACTGTCTCTTTCCCATACACTGAAGTAAGTCTCTAATCCATACGCCCTCACCCCAAATCCTCACACCTTTGCTGTCAGCAAAACACTGGCATTTGAAATTAGTTACCAAAAAGCAGGTAGTGCTGACTTAACTGCACATTGCAATTAAAAGTTGCTCAGCCTTCACTCCGTTCCCCTCAGACCTCGGAGACTACAAATGCCACGTGGAAAATGCCTCAGAAACAGCTGGCCACATAAGAAGCCTGGACGTCTTTCTGCAAGGTAAGGAGCTGCTGGAAGAGGGAAGCTGCCAGGGCTGCTCACGGCATGCCCAGCATTTTCAGTGGTCTCAGCTATGCCTCAGCCAAAAAGGACACAAAAGGTCCAACAGAGTTTTTTTCCATTTTGCTGGAAACCCAAGAGACCATTCCGGTAATCCCTGATGGCTGGTGTCATTTGCCATCGATAATTACCCACAAAATCTGAAACTTTCAGCCAACTGCTGCGGCAAAGGAAGCAGACTTGCCCCAGGACTAACGGCAGAGTTGCACTTGGTAGAACTGCCCCTTCCTCATCCCCCTGGGATCTGCACCCACCGGCTTTTGGCATCCGAGTGCCTCGGTTAAGGGCCTCGGGTCCCACATGGCTTTCAGGGTCCCCGAGGGCAACAGGGACCCCAAAGAGAGGCTCCTGGGCAGCTGCCCAGCATGGTTAGGTGGCTATGAACTGAGGTGGTGTGACTGCTGCCCTGGAGAGGGCAACAGCTTGCAGTGCTCGAGCATTAAGAGTAAAGCTAGTTTGACAAAAAGGGACAACAAAGGGATGATGCACAGAGAACTTGCTTGAGTTTTCCTCGTAACATTAACCCCAAGCTGCCCCTGAAGTTTCCTTGCAGCAGTACATCCCTCACAGCTAACTGCTGGCTCGAACCTCCCATAGGAATAATTTAAGAGAAGCCAGTCCTAGCATGAGGTTCTTATCCTTTTCCAGCCCCTGGGATAGCAGCCACCGAAGGGAAGTTAAGCAGACGCCAAAAAGTCAGCACTCTGGAATGCTTTAGTCATCGAAGCTCTGTGCAAGTCAATCTGCTGCACTTGGAGAAGCTGCACAGAGATTTGGCAGAGTGGGCTGTGGAGAAGTGCACCCTGCAGAGCATCGAAGTCATCACCACTGCGGTCCGAGCACCCGCTCGCAACCACAGCTGTGTTCTACTGACACCCAAGAGAAAGAAGTTTCATAGAAAATTTGTTCTGAGAGGAAAAGGTAAGGAGTTCAATGTAGCAAATAGCTCTTTAAGTATACGAAAGCACAGCGGCCTTGTGCCTTTCTGTAAGAAAAAAAAAAAAAAAAAGAAAACAAAACAAAATTAGGAGGGAGTAACAGAGTTGAAGCTATGGAAATGTTCAAGTTTTGGAACAATTCCATGCTGTTGCTTTCCCTTCTTTTGGGAGGATCATGAGGTTTTGGCAGTTTCCAGTATTAGTACTGACGGATAATTCTGTATGTTAGAAAATTGCACACAAGCAGAAACAACTACCTGTCCTGGTACTGTGCTGCAAACTGCCAGTACTCCACCATTTCTGGTCAACTGTTTCAGCGTGCAAGTTATTCTAGAAAATGCTTCTGGCTCTTCAATCCAAACAGAAACAAATAACCAGATTTAAAACCTGTCCTTTCCAGTGTTTCTGCCAGGGGTATCCAGCCGTGCTGTAAAAGCAATGCTGCTCAAGCGGAAAGCTTTTTCTGAGGCTCCGACTATGCCACCTGTGTACCACAGAAACCAGACTTTGCAGGGTAGGTTCCAGCTCTCCCTGCTGAGCCACAGGGTAGCAGAGCAGTAGATGTAGGGATGGGAAGGATACCGGCTTTCACACACCTCTTGGCCCAAGTTCTCCCAGCCAGTGATTTCTCTGAACAATGGTGTTGGATTTACCAATAAATACATTGGCCCAGGTAGTTTGTGAACCCACGGCCGTGAGGAGAAAGCAGCATTTAAGTGCTGGCTTTCAAAGGAAGCTACCAGTGCTCATGCATGCCCTGAGCTCCCCTAACAGCTCCCAGCTTCCTTTAAAAACCTCACAGGACTTCACTGGGAAGTTCCAAGCCTTACTACACTGCTGTGCTGGGGCTTACCCACCTGTTTCTTCTTGGGAGCAGGCAGGAACTGTAAGATATCTGAAGTATTTTAACATAAAAATATCCTGAGGTTCCAGAGAGATTTACAGCTTCCAGTGAAAGCCTTCAGGAACCTCCAAATTGTTCCTCTGCCACAGCCCACCTCACTTAGCCCAACTTAATGAAAATGAAGCAAATCTTGAACTGTCAAAGACTTGTAAAGACGTCTGAAATATTCTTACGTATCTCATTTCAGCGGGAATTACACCCAGAAATGATAGAGGTTTTATGATCAGAAAAAAAATAAGCATCATCATTAAAGTGATCATCACTTGTGTCCTGTTAGTCTGTGCCATATGGTATATCCTGAACGTCATATGTGAATTTCCCTGCTCGGTAAGTTCCAGACCAGGACAGCTTCCCACCTCCTTCCCCACCCTCAGCCAGGCCAGCCGTGTGAGCACAACTGGCGAGTTAAAGCACACTCACGGAGTTTTTGGGGAGAATTGTCTTCCCAGGCATGGGCAGAGCCTGGGTGCTCAGTCTGGAGGGCCCAGGGAAGTGCACGTGCTGAGCTTTGCAGGCACTGCACTGTGCTGACCCGTCACAAACCTCCCGCTGTGCTGGGACGCTGCTCCTCCTAGCAGAGATGGCATCCTCCTGATGCCAGAGGAAGAATGGTTTAGGGGTGGAAAAGAAAAGGCCCTGACTCAGGAGAGGTGCCCCTCTCTCACCTTGCAGGCTGCAGGATGCAGCATTTTAGCAGGCGGGTGAGAACACATGAATGCAAGGGGCCGGTGCTGGGAACCAAATACCCCAGGGGCTGCAATACACCAAGTTACCTCTGTGAAATCACATCGCTTTGATGCCCAGACGCCCACCACGGTCCCTCCAGAAACAAACAGCCTTTCCTTAGCTTTGGGCAGCTGGTATTCCCCACCCTGACTGCTTCTGCTTCTTTCCCAAGTGCTTGTGCTTGGACTGGATGGCCGGCAGGCAGAGCAGCAGCAGAAGCGTGTACACAGCCTCCGAGCCATTGGGTCACCAAACGGGCACGCTTCTAACCCAGATACTTACGGACACGAAGGAGAAATCGCTGCAATCTTTTGCCTGACTCTCAGGCTCCCTTCCACAGGTACGAGCAGACAGCGGCAGCCAAATGTTGAGCGAGGGATAGCGGGCCCCGCTGTGAGCAAGCCTCCAAGGGAAATAGATAGACCTATCCCTTCCACTTCAAAAGATTAAATATCCCCGTGGCCCTGAAGATGAATGGCTAAGGTGCCCTTTCATGAAGAAATGATTTAATCTTGTGCTTCCTACCCCATTCCGTGAGCTGCTGAGGTAGAGCAGTTATGCTCTACTCCCACCTCGCACCGTGATGGGGGGGTCAAGTCACTTCAGTTTGGCTTGTCCAGCTGCTTGTCTGTCACCGGGCTCTAACTGCCCCGTGGTGAGACTGGGGAACACACCAGAAACCCTCCAGATATTGCACATGCAGAACAAACCGCCTGAGGGCATTTAACTTGCAGAAACGATCAGTAAACAATTTCAAATAGAAATGAAAATTACTCCATTTGTTAAAACTTCTGAGTAGAAAAAGGCAGAAGGTGAGCACGTTGCTCATTGCAAATTACCCACTTTGACCCTCCTGGAGTGAAACTGTGCTGTGAGAAACGGGCTACAGTGAGAGGTGAGGAAATTAAACTGAGACCTGTAAGAGCCATTTCGCGCAAGCCATTGACCAGCCCTCAGATGGTAACACCTTTGGGCCTCTCCTAAGCTGAAAACCATTTGAACAGGAGTTAAGGCAAAAGGCTCTTTATGTCTCTGCTAGCTCCAGGAGATATTAGGCTTGCCATAACTTCTTGAGCTCAGTTCAGCCAGGAGATGTCGCACTGTTAATTACTGGTTTGAAAACCACCAGAGCGGAGCACTGGGGTAACATTCCAGCAATACGGTTCTTTACTATTCCTCATGTGTTTTTTTTTCTTCCCTTGCCAGACAGAAGCATAATAGCAAGACCCTTAGATGAAGAGATCCCAAATCCCTGTTGTTCATGAAACCCACCCGAGAAATGCCGCAGGCCTTACTGGAACACCCTTTTCCCTCAGCCACCTCACCTTTCTCCTCACCACCTCCTGGAAGCAGCAGATCGAACATCAGCAGCTTAAACAACCACAACCCAACCGCTGCAGACTGAAACCAGACTTAACATCAGAGGAAACACTTACCTGGTTAGGGGCAGTCACACCAATTCACTGGGAAAAGAGCTGCTGCGAAGACACCCATATGCTGATCCCTTCCATTAAGTGCCCGGATTCCTATTTTAATTCCCAGATACTGGAAAAACCTGTCGGCATAAGCAATAAAAATTTCACTGACGTTCCAAACTCTGCCTCTCTCAACTACTTTATTTTTCCCATAATTTAGGGAAGGCATTTAGGGCCTAGACAAAGGGAAAAAATAATTTCCAGGGCTTCCAGTTGTGCCATTACACAGCTCCGACACGGAGCACACATGTGGCAGACTCCTGGGGAGCCTCCTCCTGCAGCCTCGGGGGAGCGGTGCCCACACCGACTGCCGGGCTCTAGCCCGAGCTGTTGGCATTTTGACACGAAACGGCCCCCTGAGCAACACGAAATGAGGCTCTGACCTGCATCCTCGGCCCTCAGGTATGCCCTGTAGGTCTGTGAGAGCAGCTCCTGAGCTCCCCGCGAGGCGCTGAACGCTGCAAACCCTGCAGCAACAGGCGGGGGCAGCCCCTGACATCCACCTTGATGCGTCTGCAGCATTTACATATATATAACTTATATGTATATATATAAATACATACATATATTTAAATACAGGGCAATATGCACATGTATCTCTCATATATAAATAAATACAGGACGATATATAGATTGGATATATCAATATACAGGGCAAAATACATATAGATATCATATATGTATAAATACGGGGCAATATATACATGTAACAGAAATGTACATAAATACAGGGCGATATATGCACATATAACAGAAATATATATAAATATGGGGCGATATATGTAAATATAACAGAAATGTACATAAATATGGGGCAATATGCGCACATATAACAGAAGTGTATATAAATATGGGGCAATATATGTGCATATAACAGAAATGTACATAAATACAGGGCAATATGCGCACATATAACAGGAATGTATATAAATATGAGGCAATATACGCACGTATTAAAGAAATATATATAAATATGAGGCAAAATATGTACATATAACAGAAATATATATAAATATGAGGCAATATATGTACATATAACAGAAATATATAAAATTATGGGGCGATATATGCACATATAACAGGAATGTATATAAATACGGGGCAATATGCGCACGTATTAAAGAAATATATATAAATATGAGGCAAAATATGTACATATAACAGAAATATATATAAATATGAGGCAATATATGTGCATATAACAGAAATATACATAAGTATGGGGTGATATGTGCACATATAACAGAAATGTATATAAATATGGGGCAATATGCGCACGTATTACAGAAATATATATAAATATGAGGCAATATATGCACATATAACAGAAATATATATTAATATGAGGCAATATATGTGCATATAACAGAAATACACATAAATACGGGGCGATATGCGCACACATGACAGGGCTGTACACCCTCCGGGGCGCTCTGTACACCTATCTCCTGTACAGACACCGGCCCCCAGCGGCAGGCGCCCCCCTCAGCCCTGAGCTCCCCTCACGGCCGTGCCCGCGCCGCGCTCCCTCAGCCCCGGGGGGGGGGGGCGGGGCGGGGCGGGGCGGGGGCGCGCACGCACGGCCGCCCGCCCGCCCCGCGCACGCGCACGGCCGTGGCGGGGCCGCGGAAGGCCGCGGCGCGCGGGGCCCGGCGGGCGCGAGGTGAGGGGGGGGCGGCGGGGCCCGGAGCGGGAGGGGGCGGGAGCGGGGGGGCGGGGGGGGGGAGCGGGGAGGGGGGAGCGGGAAGGGGCAGGGGAGGGGGGGGGAACGCGGGGCGCGCGGCGGCACCGCCGCAACGTGACGTACCTCGTGGAGATGGGGGCGGGGCCTCGGCGGGAGGGGCGGGGCCTGGGGAGGGGGCGTGGTCCGATGGGAGGGGGCGGGGCTTCAGGGAGGGGGAGGGGCCTCGGAGGGTGTGGCCGCGCTGGGTGTCCCCGCGCCCATCCCGCTCCCCTCAGAGGGGCTGAGAGCCCGGGGGGGGGGCGTTAATTGTGCAAAGCATTTAATGAGGCACTCGTGTCAGTAACACCAAGGGGAGGGGGCATGCACACAGCTCGGGCAGGACGCCTCAGCCCCTCACGGCCCCTGTGTGGGGCTGGCTGGGTGCTTGGGGAGCCATTGGGCTCCACAGACCCCCACGTCGGTCCCTGTCACACACGGTCCCTGTCACACACACAGCAAGGAAGCGCCAAACCCGGCTATAAACCCCCCGGCCGCCATCCCTGGTGGTGTGGTGCAGGCCAGAGCCGTGGCACTGCCGTCACCTCTGTCACCAGCCCTGGTGGGACCCCTGAGGAGCATCCCCGGTGCCCCGCGTCCCTTCTCGCCACACATCCCATCCCTCCGCCTCTGGTTTCTCCTCACAGGCCGAAAACACAACAGCCGTGTCCAGCAGGCTGCTGACAGCCCCCTGCTTTTCTCTTCAGGACTTCCCCCAAGACTGCTGCAGGCAGGGGACACCCCTGTGGGACGTACGCTGCGGGTTTTGGGGCAAGACAGCTGGGCTCGGAGGAGCAAGGATAGCAGCCGGGGACAGGGATGGAGCGCCTGGCCTCCTTCAGCAGTAAGTGCCCCGAGGTGGCGTCCAGAAAGCGTCTGGCGCGGTTTGAAGCTGTTGGCAGCTGGCTGGGAGAGAGACAGCAAAGGAGCAATGTGTGATCCACGGGGTCACTGCTTTGATCACATCCCCGGCAGCGTGACTGCATGAATGAGTCGGGTCTTTGTTTCTCTCTACTTCATAGTTGGGATAGTTCAAATCCATTCGCTTTGAGGGAAAAATATTGCTCATGACGGTGTTTGGACTACTTTGCAACGAGCAGAATAAGAACTGGCAGGGCAGCATTTCCCTCCTTGCTCAGCAATCTGAGCAGAGTCTGAGGCTTGGACGGGTGACAGAAGCAGTCGAGGCGATGCCCTCCCAACCACAGCACTGTGCTTTGAGAGGCAGACGGACGGCAGCTCTCTGTGCACTGTGCTCCATGCACAGGGCCGTGGGTCTGCTCAGCAGCTGCTGGCTTGTACCAGGAGGCTGCTGTGGAGGAAATCTTTCATTCCAACTCGATTGCACAAGTTTGGGTTTGGCCCTCAGTGCACCGGGTCTATAGCAGAGGTGAAAGTGCCAAAATCTGTCTTAGAGATCTTTGGAGAAGCTGCAGGAGGAAAAAGATTCATTTTAAATTGCTGGACACGAGTGAGTGTGTGCGATTGCAAAACCAGTGCCATGTTTGTTCCATGAGATTTACTTTTGGCTTCACAGATGACCCCTTTGATAAGCCTCCGTGCCGAGGCTGCTCTTCGTACCTCACAGAGCCCTACGTGAAGTGTGCGGAGTGCGGGCCTCCTCCCTTCCTCCTCTGCTTGCAGGTGAGCGCAAGGATAAAAGCAAAGACCTTCATTTCTTTGAGAAAGTCATCAAAGGCCTGCCCGGTGCCAGGCTGTTCCGTAAGCACATTAATAACTGGTCTCTGTAAACTTGTATCAACACACTTATTTGCTCAGGGACAGGGAAATGACAAAGAAAATATGGGAGGCTGAAGAACTGAGGCATGAGCAGCCAGAGGAGATGTTTGTGGAGGCAGCCAAAGCTACCTAAATACACGCAGTCAGCCTGACTGTAACAGAGCATGCTGCTGCATGTCTAGAGAGGTATTGTTGCTGACATTTTTTATGGCATAGAAAAGAAAACCCATCAACACCCTTTCCCTGTCCCCACAACTTTTTTTTTTCCTTTCAAATGGAAAAGGAAATTAGGGGGAAATTTGCAATATTTACAATAACTGTGGCCAGATATGATTATTTAAAAGTTCTGTGTGTGATCGAATAACCACAGAAGGTACTACTGGTTTTAATTATTAAATAAGTTTGCATTATTTATGATTAAAAAGTGGAAATAACCTCTAATACTGAAAAAGGAGCTTAGCTCAGGTATGTACAACAAAACCATATTTTGTACACTGGATGTATTTTTTTCTTTTACCTGTCCTTAAAAAAAAAAACAGAAATGTAAGTGGTGAAAATACCTGCAAACTGTGCTGGTGCGGGAGACAGGAACACTACAAAGCTTCAAAATTATTTTAACACAGATTGTTCTACCATTATAAATTTTTTTAAAGTGAAATCAGAAAGATTAAATATCATTTTTAGCATATCGGGTTGGATATGTTGGATGTTTTATATGCACAGTGGTCAGAGTATAAAAAGAAAAAAGAAGTTGGTTAAAATGTTTTCAGGACAGAAGTGAGAGAGTAACAATAATGCTAATCTTTTGTTCCACAGTGTTTCACGCGAGGATTTGAATACAAGAAACATCAAAGTGATCATACTTACGAGATAATGGTAAATACTCCTTTAGGTTATACCTACTCAATCTTGAAATCTCCTAACTTCCCAGGAGTTAGAATCTTGCTTACTAATATTATGTGAAAATGTTAACTAATACAGTTATTCAATTCAGAGGTTTAGAACTATTTAAAAACATAAGTCTTCCTTGAGAGTAAAGAAAGACGTCCCCCTGGAACGTAATGGAATAGTGGAGACATTTAAAGGTACATTTTTTATTCTGCCTAGATAGCACAATGCATCTCACTAGACTTACCAGTACTTTAACCGTGATGAATCAACTTCTGTTTCTTTATTCTTTTGTTGTTTTTTTTTCTCCCCCAAAAATGAATCGCTTTAAAAGTCTTTGGTAATTTTTACTGTGTTTCATCACATAACTGTCAAATTACAGCTGGTAGGTAGAACATGTAACAGTGTATTCAGGAGAATAAACTAGTAAGAACAAACAAATTCTTACCGTAGGTGATGACTCAATAGCCTAAATAATTCAACAGTTATCAAGATTCATGAGATGGTAAAAAAAACTGCCAGTACTATACACTGTGTTGCCCTGTAGTCTAGAGCTTTTCTGCTTTTCATCTGATGGATTATAACAGAGAATCACAGCAGTTTGATTTGCCTTCTTTTTCCCTCCAGACTTCAGATTTCCCTGTCTTGGATCCTAACTGGACAGCTCAAGAGGAAATGGCACTGCTAGAAGCTGTGATGGACTGTGGATTTGGAAACTGGTGAGAATTTTGTGGCTCAGCCAATTTCAGCAAATGATGGGTAGAGTTTCATTTCACTGGATTGTACTGTTGAATGCATCAGTGCACGATGAATGTTCAGTGACTCATCATGGGTGAGACACTAATTTAGCAGCTAGAGCAGAAGACTGGGGTAGCAGATTCAGTTTTCATCTATTAGATACACAAGGAAATTGCTAAAGGCCTCTTGTGTGACGCAGGGCACCTCCAGCAAAGTACAAAGCTCCCTCCATTCACAGTAAAGTAACCCGTTTTTGAAGAAACTCAACTATTGCACAAGATTTTCTGTGCTTCATTTTACACCTGTGTAAAAAGCAACTGCAAAGTTTCTTATCCTGTGTGGTTTCAGTTTGCTTACAGTTGGCTAGCCAAGGTATTGTTTTTTTGTTTGTTTGTATCCTGCTTTTCTGTCACATTTGGAGCAGACCATTGGAAATATTTAATATTTTTAGATTATGTTCTGTTAATTTCCTGTAGTTGCTACAGGATTTTTATGCATTTATAAGGAAAGGAGATCTGTAGTCATGAGTTATGCCTCTTCTCCTTCATGGAAAGATTGCTATATTAAAAGTACAGAACTCCAAAATATATAGAAAGAGAACTGTGAGTTCTTATGTGTACAGTGCTAATTATGTGCATGGTCATAATTAAGGCTGAAAACTTTTGTGGTTATGTTCAGGCAAGTTTGCCGTCCAGTATACTTTGCCATACTTTGCAATAGCAAGTAATCTTTTCCTTAAACACTTGGCTTTTTTCAGCCTTTTCCAAATAAAGGAGAAAACTGACATTTCTTCCTGAAATCCCTCGCATGCAGTGTAGTTTAACAAATTAAAACAATTGCTGCTGGTGTTCTGATATTTTAAGTCCTCAACTCACACATCCATACAGCCATTCTATTAAGATAAAATACGTCATATTTCTACTCAACCAGTTTTCCAGGAAAGTTCAGCAAGGGTTTCTAGAATGTCTTTTGTACAACCACGTCAGTGTTTGAAAAAACTTGAACAACCCTATGCAAAAAGGAAAACCACTGTCCAGTTAAAATCGCAAGAGCAATTTGAGAAGCAGAATACAATTGCTGGCTTAGGATTTACCATTAGTTAGTAAAATGTATAAAAAGCCCTCAAATAACAATACTAAATTTTCAAACATGTAAAAGAGTTGAGATATTCTGCCCGCCAGGGAGTTTCTCACGTGGAAACAGTCAGCTGCATTGCCCATGACATCAGCAAAAAAGTGTTCCCAAGGCCAGTAACTTCAATAAAACATCTAAGTATTGGCTTGGTGTTAGTATGATGGAAAGAGGGAATCTCCTGGAAGTATCTAGACCCTTTTGACTAGATCGCACAGCACATTCAATACAGATCTGAGACCAATATTTTGAAACGAACTCAGTATTTCTGTGTAATTCATATTAAGCCTCCCCCTCTTCCTACTTCAGGCAGGACGTAGCCAACCAGATGTGTACAAAATCCAAGGAGGAGTGTGAGAAACATTATATGAAACACTTTATCAACAACCCCTTGTTTGCATCTACAGTTACTGAACCTGAAGCAGGTGGAAGAGGCACAGCACAGCGAAACGGCCATCCCATTCCACCGTGAGTACCATCCGCCTGCTGACAGGGAGCTTCCTTGCAAGGTCTCCACTCCTCAGAACTGGAGTCAACAACCTTTGGAGAAAGACATGGTTTCTACTGGTTTCTGCCAAACCAGTAGAAATGGTCATTTGCAGAAATCACCATAGCAAAAGTCTAGATATACACATTAATTCAAAAGACAAGCTACCTCAAAGCTACCTCACATTTGGCTCAAAATAACAGCATGTGCTTCTTGTAATTACCAGTGTGAGTTCTCACCCCAATGTTGAGGTGATTGCTTCTCTTTTCCAGACCATGTGTAGCAATTTTAACTGAAAAGGTGTTTCTACCTCTAAAATATTTCATCTGATTATCTATTTTCTACAGGCCTAGCTGGTGAAATTTGTCATAAAATCATTCCCTTTAAGCAATGCTGAATTCATACCTCTCTCTTCAGAACTGCCTTTAAAAAGTATGTGTTGAATTTCAGCAATTTAACAAATGATCAGGTTTACTTAAATTGAACATCTTTACAATTCCCCCAGTCTGTCAGCTGTTCCAGTGTAAGGCTCCCCAAAATAGCTGGGTGAAAAGACTTGCCTGATATCTGGAGGTTTAAATTTCATTATAAAGTGTTTAGAGCTAAAGCAGTAGGAACTGGACAATTTTGGTTCTATTCCTGGCTGTCATTGATTTTTTTATGTGACATGGGCCAAGAGAAATTCTCCGTGCCTCAGCTTTCTTTATCTGTAGCATGGGACTTATAACACTCGGCTCCTTCACAAGTGTGTTGTGAGCCTTGGTCCATTATTGTCTGTAAAACACTGAGATCCTCAGCTGGGAAGCACTGTAAAACTTCAGAGCTGTAGAGCTTTAATTGCAGCTCTCTGTAAATGGCACCCAGAAGGTGGCAGATTTAACACCCCTGTTGCTATTAACTAAAGAACCTGCACGCTGAGAGCAAGTCTCGGCAGAGGTTTACCAGGGGGATGCTGAGTTCTGAAATGCAGAGTTTATGTTTTATAGCCTGTTTATTACCTTGAATTTCTGTGTTTGACTTTCAAGAATGCTGCAAAGATCTGAGATTACAGTATTTTTCTCCCAGTAAATTTCTGAACATAACCCTGCATAAAACCCCAATCAGGGTGTTTTTCTTCAACTAATTATCCCCACTTTTGTTCAAAAGAAACACTTATTTACAATCTTTTTGCATTAGAAAAGACCCCAAACCCTACACAACAACTGAAAACCTTTATTTTTTCAGCTGCTGATGACCCCCCACGGCCTACTTTCGATTCCTTGCTCTCCAGAGATATGGCTGGGTATATGCCAGCAAGAGCTGACTTTGTTGAGGTAAGACTCTTCCTTCTCTCAGTAATTTTATATTTGCTACTGAACTGTGAGATCAGCAAACACGTGCTTGCATGCCTCTGCCTATAGGTCTTTATTCTTCATTAAGAAGTCATTGGCAGGATGACAGGGCAGACTGATTAAACCAGGGATTTAATTGCAGAGGTGGCGCTGCAGGCCTGCAAAGCAGCGAGCAGGCAACCCGAGTGTCCCCAGGCTGTAAGGCTGCTGCTGCCACCAGATGTCCACTGTGAACGGCTCTTACTCAAACAGACTCGATGTCATGAATCGGATGCTTGGCAGAAGGGGTCAGATTCAGTATGCTTCTATTTCATTTGCCTTGGAGAAGCAGACAGGAGCCTGATCCAAAGGTCTCTTGAAAGGCTGCATTGTTTTCAGTGTTTTTAGCTGTGGGCCCAGGGCCCCAATTCCTGTTGCAAAACAAGCTCCTATACATAGAGGGATGAATTCCACCATAGAGGGGTGTGTTGTTTTTATATGTTTGAGCAGAATTTTTACCACAGTGTGGGAGCTATGGGGAGAACCTGATTAATTCTCATTATCCTATCACCATATCCTGTTGTGGTTACAGCCGGAACTCGTTTAAGTTCCCCTGTGATGTACATTGCTCAAGGATGGAGCCTTGTACAGCCATGCACGTGTACATATCTGTGTTTTCAGTACTTATATGTGTACTGAAACTTGATACCAGTTTTTTAGTGCTAGCTAGTGACAGTTTATTAATCACTTCTGAACAGGAGTTTGACAACTATGCTGAGTGGGATTTAAGAGATATTGATTTTGTAGGAAGATGATTCAGACATTCTGCACGGTAAGTCCCCTGTTTTCATACATTGTTTGAAAGCAATGTTTCACGGTGCATACACAGTGTTTCACTGGGTCTTTTTTCCTCTACATTAGAGCAGCATTTTCCTCTACAGTTAGAGCAGCATTAGTTGTACCTGACGAGGGTTGTTGTGTGAGTTTGCTTACTTCTACTGAGTTTCTGTGGTACCAAATAACAGGAAGTATTAAAATTAGGTTTTAACCCATAGAGAAGTAAAGATCATACTTTTTTCCCACATTTATAAGTACACATAATGTTTAAAAGTACTGTGTTTATGCTTCAGAATTCTTCCGTCTATGTCAGGCTGTTCTCAGCTAAAGTCTTACCACCCTTTGGAGACAGACAAATCCTGTTATGTACAGACAGTCCTTCCAAACTTACAAAATCAGTTTGAAATTTAGCAGCGTACACATAGTTTTAAGGAATGCAAACTCCCTTGGCACAAAAAAGGTTATGAGAATCATACATCAGCCTCTCTTCCCTTTTAACTTTTATTGAAAGGGGAGCTGGCTTTTGGCACTTGTCACAGATGCATCGTGCCATCTCTCCACTGTTTTATTATTATTAAAACATATTTTATTGCTTCCATGTCCTATAGGGAGCCCTAGTAAACTGGAAAAGCAAAATACTTTCCTAGGTCTACTCATTAATTGTTAGTTTAATGAAGGTGCTGGTTTATCAGCACCTTCTTCCATACCCCTCGCACATTTCTTCCTCCCCCTGCACAATTCAGCCAATTAAGATATCTCCTACCAGCCTCCTGGTTTAAGTTGTAAATCTGACTGCAAAAATCAGCTTTCCTTTTCTGTTCAGAATACCATAAAGCTATGCAGGGCCAGACCAAAGGTCTCTCTAGGTCAGTAACCTGCTAGTATCTCATAGCAGACACACAGAAGAAAGTAAGAAAAGACAAGTACAAGCTGATACTTTTCCTGGTGTATCTTCCAAGTTTCCTGCAGTCATAAATCTAGCAAATTCCTGAGCCACAGGTTGTGTTCAGACCATTTTGGCCAAAGAATCTGTCCTGCATGAACTTAGCTAACTACTGTTGGAACCATATATATATTTGTATTTTTGCCCCCATAACATCCTGTAGCCCTGAGTTGCACAATTGAGTTAGGAGTTCAGTAATTTAATTACATAGTGTGTGAAAAAATACTTCCTTCTGTCTGTCAAATATTTTGCCTGATAATTACATTGGGTGTTCTTTAGTCCATTCTTTAGTTGTCTTGCATATTTAGTACAGAACATCAGGCTTTTGCCTTGTGAAAACTCCATTTGGCAGAGGTTAGGCAGCGTGACCAACTACATATTCGATCTCTTAGCTCAGGGACTTTGGCAGCTTCCTTCCCACAGCTGTTCTGGATCTGCCTACGTGAGAGAGAATGCCTCTACAAAAATGAAGTCGCAGGGTCTAGCCAGCTGTTTTTCTCTTATATGAGGCATCTCAGGGAAGGAAAGAATGCTTTTCTAAAAGAAACTTTGGGATTAGATCTTTGCTTTCTCCAAGCTAGAAGAAAAAAGGAAGGAGCCACATCTCTTCCTGTCCTGCAGTTTTGAAGATCTCAGATGCTGACTTTGCTTGATTCACTGGGAATATTTTGCAACTTAATTGCATGACTTAATACCCTACAAAATGGTTCACCATTTAGATTTGAAGGAAGGGGCGAGTGCTCGGACTGCTTAGGAAATCTTGGCACTTTCTAGTTGCAGGCAGAGGAGGTTGCAAGGCAGCCATGGAGGCACAAGTTCTGGCAGTCGCTCCCAAGGATGCCTGTCCTGTCTCTCATGTGCCTCACTACCCCAGCCCTGCCCACTGGCAAACTTCTTACACTGCATCTCGCAGAAGTGTCCTTGAAAAGCAGCCCTGTGGCTGTCTTCCACTACGCCTGCTTGAGACAAATTCTTTGCTGGCCAAATAGCAAACTTTTTTCCTTCCATAAGATACAAGACAATGGTTGAAATACTCCATGGTATTTATTCTTTTATGTAAGGTTCTGACACACTCTGCAAGTAGATACCCTGTTTGCTTAGGGTCCTGCTTTCCTCCAGGGGGAGTAAATTTGGGTTGTAGCCATGAAGTTTGTCCCAGCCAGGCACACACTGGATACGCAGCCTGTTTGCTTTGATTAGTTTGCATTCTTCCCATTATTTGGGCCTTGCATGCCAAGCAGAGGTTAGTTAGCACAAAACAAAGCTCTCACTCATTAGCATTCAAAAGTTTTTGCAGACCAAATGAGGCTGAAGAGGAATGAAAAGCAAAGAAACTGTTTTGGACACTGTCTTAAGAAACCAAAATATTTTGATTTTTTGGAACGGAGAAAGAAGCCTTGAATTCCTGCCTATCGCTGGATCCTGCAAAGCCACTCTGACCATCTCACAGAATGGCAACTTATCTTCAGTTACCAGTACAAACAAGTAACTCCCTAGTATAATTCATGGGGGAAAGAGCAGTCAAATCATTTTCGTTCGTACAGTGTCTCTTTTCTCATTTCAGTGCAGCAGGTAACAGTATAATAGTCAGAGTTATTCCTGTATTCCAGATCTTATAATCAGTTGTCTCTTTGTGAATATGTTTATCAAAAACAAAAGGCCCTCCAAAAGTACATGTGGCAGTAAATACTGTTTTTTTCTGTACATAGAAGTTCCCTTTTTCCCTTAATTTATTCTCATGAATGTTCCTTCCCCTCCCCAGTTGATCGTAATTTCTTTTAGAATATTGTGCACTTAGGTGAAAGCATCAAAATGCAATGGTTATTGGTGCACAATTGCTTGTGATATTTATAGAGGCTCTCCAGTGCAATTTGTGCATGTACTCATTAAATTCTGCCCACACAAACCCCAGAAAATAACATGCTAGCTTAGCTTGCACAGGGTTTAAAAATACAAAAATATTTTCCATAAATTGGCACTGATTCCAACACTTAGTAATATATTTCATTCATGTTTAACTTACTGCATTTCCCGTTCTTTTATCCCCACATTTAAGCAAGAAGGAGAATTCACAACCCATGTCTGCCCTTAAATTAGGAAACTTAAATACCCCTTTATGAAAATACACGGTGGTTCTTGAACACTGCTTTTGAAAGAGACTTCCAAAAAGAAGTGAGAACGTTTGTATTACCCTTCCTGCCTTCGTACATATTTTTTCTCCTAGGTTAACATCAAATCAGTTTTGTATAAATTCAAGACTTTTTTGTTAATACAGGGTCAGCAAGTGTAACTCAAAAGCAATGGCACCTGAGCTGATGTGCACAGCCCTTGGGCTTTCGCCCTGGTTATACGAAATTCTGCTACCCAGCAGACTGCTCAGATGAATTGCCTAGAGGCTATGGGCTTCTTGGTGTTTACACATGAACACATATTTTAGAATAGACACGTAACCGCATAACCACACTTCTTTCTTAATTGCCTTATTCATTATTTATTGGAGAGTCCAATCAATAAACAGCCAGTATCGGTTTTGCTCCTTTCTTGTAACTACAGGAGCAGGGGTGGATTCTGGATTCTGACACATTCTGTCCACCTTTGCTTATGCAGCAGCGGGGGCTGAAAGGGGACATGTTCTTGCCTAGTTTCAAGCAGTTGCGTGTTGTCTTTTCAGACTGTAAACCCACTGTCAAGTCTTAAGCCTGCTCCCTCAGGGAGCATACTGAAATGCTTAAAGTAAAGGGAAAAAAAAAGCCAACCAACTCTACGCTCATTTAATGACCTAGAATTTGTGTATTATTTAACAAAATGAGGGAAGGGAAGGTGATAGGTGTCTCCTTATCTTTTCTGCTGAGAATTTACCAAAGAAGTTTATTAACCTGATGGTCACAGGAAAAAGAAGCTGAAGGATCTCTGAGTGGATCAGCCAGGACTGCAGACAGATTTCATTTCGGAAAGGATATGATTTCTAATGAGCATGACTTTTTCCTGTACTTCTCCACATTGCCGTGAACTATTCTCTTTGTTCTTCTAGCAGATAGATAAGTTTAGACGTTAACGAGCTAAAATCTTGTAGATGTTTTCAAGAACGGTAGCAAAGGCTACTTTGAATCTTCTCAGTTCAGAACTTTGCCTTTCTATTTTTTGGAGTTCCTCATTATGTGCAAAGAAGCCTTTGTCCAAAAGCGGTACCTCAGATCCTTAAATCTGATAAACTTACTTTTCAGGAGAAAGAATATTTAACAATGGCACGTATGAAGGAACAAATACGTGCTAATGGTAAAACAGTCCAAGATTGTATAAAGGAAGAGTTCTCAGAATCTACCCAAGTTCCTCTATACAGGCAGTAATGTGTTTGAAAACAGCAAAAGAAACGTCCTACATATAACATATACAGTCTGAAGAATATTAATTTCTGGTGGTTTTATGCCCCTGTAAAATTGCCATGGGATTTTTCAAACATCAAAGTGACAATTTCAGCCTGCCATGATCATAAGGGCTTGAAACGTAGCGTTAACACAGTGATACATTACATATTTTCTAATCTGTGTTTTTCTATTTTGCAGCTCTGAAGATCGCAGTTGTAGATATCTATCATTCCAGGTTAAAGGAAAGACAGAGAAGAAAAAAGTAAGTTTTCAAGCAATAAAGCAATAACTACGTTCCTTTGCTTCATTACCATGTTTTATTCCCCAGTGCTGTCCTAATACTAAGGCTAATTAATTTCCTGTAGCACCCTTCCAGACAATTGCCAGGTATGGAGACCTTCTGCTATGAGATCTGCATGACAGGCTTCATTCTGGATGTGTAGTTCTTCTCTGCATAGATTCAGATCAAGCACATGGCTTTAGCTATGGTACCAAGCCAGAAAACACAGATTAACAGGCCTTGATCCCTTTTTTGTACACGTGGGTAACAAAGGACCTCTGCACACCTTAACTCTCCTTTGAACACTCAAAACAAGTCATTAATTTTGAAAAGCCTATTTTCCAATGCTCCTTATTGCAGGAAAATCACAGTCACAGTGCTCTTCACATTACTATCCCCAATCCAGTTATATTTAAAAAAAAAATAAGTTTCTAGGACACCTTATGAGATGGCATGGTCATTCTGCAGAGTGAGAACTGAAATAATATCTGGGAAACTGGTGGCAGATCCAGAGGTAGGAACCAGAAAATAAGACAAATCTCTGTTCTTTTTGTTCCCTATGTAATATCGATGGACTGCCTATAATTTATTTGCTACTTAAGGGGAAAAAAAGCTGTCAGTCTGTGACTAATTGCTAGCCTCCCCCCTCAACATACTTTCTCCATAGAAATGCTTGCATCATTTATTTTTTGACTATTAGTGGTCCAGAAGTTAGTTTTTTCACAATGTATAATGAAGATAACTATACTGCTGGCATGAGTTTGAATAATTTATTCAGTTCATTTGACAGCTTTTTCAAATGACTCAATCTATTCATCAAATTCAATTTTATTATAACTTTCAAATACTTTGTTCAATATTTAAAATTATATCTTCGTGTATTATTGCCTGCTGGAAGAATTAGTAATTTGTGGTAAGACTCCTCCACTCCTTCCTATAATACATCATAATTCTGGTGAAGGACAGGTTAGGAGCTCATATCTATTGACCTGGTTCTTTATAATTCATAAATTAAAAATATTTATGTGGTATAATTTTCAGTTTGGTGCATCATGTCTTAATAAAAGAAAGTGGTATAACTCATACCAGTGTCAGTTTTTGTAAAGTTTCTCCAGCTGGATGGGACAAAAATCTGGAAAAGGATGTAAAAATGCTGATGTCACTCTCAGAAAGTCATCTCTACGTGGGGCAGGAACATTCTTTTCTACGTAGTGAAGAAAATGGAATGGGTTTTATAGCGCAAAGTCCAAGCTGACCCTGATGAGCCTAGCTGTGCGGTATCTCGTGTCATTTGCAAGGATCAAGTCGGGTGTTGAGCGAGTTGCCACATAGCAATGGCCACATGACATTTCCAGAAACCTGTGACAAATGTATTTGTCATCCCCTTGTAAATATCTTACCTGCCTTATTACACTGCTCATTTCCCCAATCCTGTCATGAACATTTCAAACTCATGAGTTATCTAAAACATTTTCTTTTTAAAATCCAAGCTGTCACGGAAATCTCCATCCTGCTCCCAGTGACAACATTTACCCTCCATCTCTCACCCTTGCTCTAGTGGAAGGACATTTGTGTCTTGCTGAAGCTGGAAATCATGCTTCAGGAGACATTCGCTGTGCTTCCAATTTTGGAAAGACAAGTTATGAGACACTGCAGATACAAATTCTGTGTCTAAAAAAGAATTTTCAAACCCTTTAAAGCAACTGTAGCTCCCTCTGTGCTTAGTGCTGCCAGAGCTGGACTAATGCACACCACTATCCAAAGCCTACCCTGATTAAAACCTCGCTGCATCACTGTGTCATGTTCCTCAGCTGGCCAGAGTTATAGAACATTAATGTGTGATTAATTTTAGGCCCCTGTGATAGTTTAAATCAAAATGTTTAAATCAAACTGAAGACTTTGCACCTATGAGGTAACACGTGAATAAATGCCTTTTGTTAATACCATTTTGCTCTTAATTACAGAATTATAAGAGATCATGGCCTAATCAACCTCAGAAAATTTCAGAGTGAGTACCAAGTGTAACTGTTTAAAGTGGCCTCTGCTCGGGAGACAAAACTTTGTATGTTCACCAGTGTGGTTATACATACTGGGCCATACTCAGATGTTCTGAATTCCACCAGATTTCCTCCTGCTCAGCCATTTCCAGCTGGCTGGCTCTGACTGCTCCCAGCTCAGTGGTACAGTTAGTGCTTCTGAATTGCTCTTCAAGAGCATTTCAGTCTCCTCACTGAGTAGGGAGAGGGCTGGAGGTGAAATCTAGGTCTTTTAAGTGCATCTCACTGGTCTAAGAAATTGTCAAACATTATTTAAATATCGTCCTTTTTGGCTTTAATTGTGAGGGCTGTATAATTTTGTTGCTTCTTACTAATAAATTTGTAGTTGTGATACCAAAATGGCAAAGAGATGTACCAAATCTTGATGTTTGGGCAGTTCATGGGGGCTGGTATAGTCCTTTCAAGTTCCCCTCAATTTATGTTTTTATAGTAGGAGTAATATGGGATACAAATAATTTATGTATAATTTTACGTGGTTTTTTTTTTGGTTGATGTTTTATTATAATAGCTGAAAGCAATTTGTGGAAAATTTGGTAGCATTCCAACAATTTCTTGGGACATCAGTCCACTCTGGCTCCACTATTCAAGCTACTGTTTATGAATCCAGGCCTTACCAGCATAAAGGAAAAGAATACAACCACTAATTTAGTTTACTAGTACTAATGGTAGAGGCATTTTTCCTAAGTACTTTGCCCATCAGTATCTCAGCATCTGTTGCAACTAATGGAATTTGGGCATATCTGTGAATTTAGCCACTGTTTTTTGCTTGTTTGTTTTACCATTTTGGTGCAAATCACACCCAAGTGTAGGGAACTATTAGTAGTTACCATGAAAGTACCCCTGTCTTTTCAACATAATCTCACAAGTCCAAAGACATTGCTGACAAAGTTATCCCTTTTCCCCCTGTAGTTTTGGAAAGACGATACCCGAAGGAGGTTCAAGACCTTTACGAAACAATGCGACGATTTGCACGAATTCTTGGACCAGTAGAGCATGATAAGTTCATTGAAAGCCATGCATGTGGGTATTTTGAAGATTTTAGCATATACATTCTTCAACGGGTATAATAAGGGGTTGCATCATCCACAGCCTTTCCTAAATATATACCACTCCTGGAAGGCAGGAGGTTGTTTTCTCCTCCTCCCTGGTCTGCCTGCCTCAGAAAAACAAATGTGTTTGTGGGTTGATACATTACACATGTAGCAAGTGTTTCTTTCCACTAAACTGTGTCCCAGTTCTGTGTTTGATTTCCCAGTTGGGAAACCTTCCAGTCACATGTTAGAAGTAGTATTTTCTTATCAAAACGCTATTGTTCCTTTACTGGCACTGCGTATCAATGAAAGCACAAAGTCCCTAAAACTGGTGCCTGGATTGAGATAGGGAGCTGGCAGCAAACTGTGAATTCTTTGAAAGATATGCGTTAAACTATTATGTGTGTACATAATTATATAGTGCGGCTGTCATTACGTTCCTTACCTTAAAGGAAGAGGCATTGTTCCATCACCAAATCATCTCGAGTCTTTATGCATAATCACAGCATGCATTTAGTCAAATTCCAATACAAGTCATTACATCCTGCTTAATTCTGTGACTTAAACTGGGAAAATCATTGCTCATTAGAAAGAACAAAGCATTTCAACAGTTGTGACTGTGTTTTCAGGACACTGTGTTGAATACCAAACGCATGATCCTGCAAATCATGAGTCCAACATGTGAGCGCTAGTCCTGAGCTTAGTTTTGTTGTGGTAGTGACAGCAAAGTCCTCACGTTAACCTGAGAGTCAAGTGCACACGCACATTACACAGGTCTCCTGAGTACTATGACTAAACAAATTTGAGACAATCTGTGTCGCTCACTGTAAAGCCAAGCAAAGCATTGAAGCCAGCTAATAACAGCTACAGTAAATAACTCTGAGCAAAAGAAACATGGGTATTTAATCTTACCAACTGCAGAAAGAATTGTCTACAAGGAAAAATTTTAGAAGGTCCAGTTACAAAAATCATAGTTCAAAGACAGCACTGGATGCCATAAAGGAGCCTGGATGAGTAGTTTTTCAGCCCTATTGAAGTGCCTTCCAGAAATCCTACATTATTGTTACTTGCTTTGTCTAGGGTATGGCAAAGAAACTGTCAAAGCATGAAGATAAAATAACTTTTCTGAGCACTCAAATGCTAGAAAACAGCTTAAATCTGTGATCAAAGTGTGTTATGACACAGACAATGGGTTTGAGATCTGATATGGGCTTGTGCAGAGGGGTTAACCCTGCCTGTGGTTGTGTACATTTCATAGCTCAGCTGCCTAGATAAATAAGAAATTGGAATATTCCTTGTACACCACCATTCACTGCCATCCCCACTGACCCACATTTGGTGTATTGTTTTTTTTTTGATTTTCCTTCTGCTTCCTGTTGGGGTAAACCAGTGGAATTTGAGCTGCGAAGGGAAATCAAACGACTGCAGGAATACAGAGCAGCAGGAATCACCAATTTCTGTAGTAAGTACCTGAGGGGTTATTCAGCCTGTTCCCATTCATCAAGGTGTGGAAGGATGAATTTGCAGCATTTAGGATGTGTTGGAATCAAAGATACTTTAGAAATGTGTTTACCTAGCTCTTTAAGTGAGCAAGGCTTTAGCAGTAATCTATCTGTTCAGCTGTGCTTTTTCGAGTTGCTTTGAGCCATCAGCTAGGAGAACACGCTGCCTAGCCAAGCTCTGCTTTAGTCACCCTTCCACAAAAGTTCCAGAAGAAACATACAGCATTGCACAGTGCTAGTGCTGCACCTCTGGGCATTTTGACTGTCAATAAGTGTGATATCTGGAGAGAAGGCTAATACCTCTAAATTAAAAAAATGGCCTGTTCTGTCCTGGAATTCCTTTTTGTTTGTTTTTGGCCTGAAATTGACAGCAGGGAGGGGTGTGGGGTGCAGTCCAATACCTTCTTATGCCAAGTAGTTGTCATAGAGGGAGAATAGCAGAGTCTGGTCCAGAGCTAGAGAACAGTTTCTCCCTAATTTCCTAAAGCAGAAAAACAGCAGTTCTGACCAAAGCAGCTGGAGAGAATGTGCTATAATGTGCTATCTGTTACCCCCAGGTGCGAGAACGTACGATCACCTGAAGAAGACAAGAGACGAGGAACGCCTGAAGCGCACGATGCTGTCGGAAGTCCTGCAGTACATCCAGGACAGCAGCGCCTGCCAGCAGTGGCTCAGTCGACAAGCCGATATGTACGGTTACAGTAAGACTGCCTTTCACACACGAGCTGTAGTCAGAGAGGTACAGAAACACTTCTCTGTCTGGTAATAATGAAAGCATTCCCAATTTATTCCAGTAGGAACAGTCTGCAAAATTCAGAAGGGCAAGAAACTGAGTAGGAGCAATAACACTTGCTGAAGTTCAGGCAAGGAAGTGACTACTGTGGGCTCAAAGTCTCTGCTTTCTGTGTTTTATGCTTCAGGAACTTACCTGCTGTTAATAAAGTCACGGAGGGAAATGAGGTCTTTTAGGATAGTAATGAGAGCAGAGATGACACTTAAGAATGTTTCAGATGATTTTAGATGTAGCAGCATTATTAATGCCTAGTCACCCTGCACAAGCACTTTGATTGAGGGAACAAGCTGCGATGCAAAGGAAGTGCGTCCTGTGTGTTACGTGATCCGAGAAGATGATTTGTAATTTCCCCAGTCAGTCTCCACTGGATCTTTCATTCTTTAAAAAAATAATAATAATAACAGGTTTCAGACATGGTCTTCAGTCTGGGAGTGGTAAATATTTAGAAATCCTGTTGACTTCAGATCAGGGCCTGGGTTATGCAAGTTGAATCAGAAGTTGGAAAAAAGTAGTCTCAGAGCCAACACACACAGTTATTCTTACCAAACATGACGACAAATTGAAATTTTCCTTTCTTTTCAGTGATTCTGGCCTGACTCCCGCAGCACCAGTTCCTTCAAATTCAGGTAACTGTTAGATGATGGTGTGTGATAAAAAGCCAGCCAGCCATACATCAGTAATACTGTTCGGACAACCAGCTGAAGAGTGACTCCTTCTCTTGAGTACAAAAGTGTCAATCCTCAAGTCTTACAGTTAAGCACTGATTTAGTCAATGTTGCCTCAACCTGCAACTCATTCCATGTGCAAAGCCTATATTTTTTAGCTGAATTTCTGGATTTTTCTATTTACAGACTGAAAACCCATCCTAAAGCTACATTAACAAGGCAGAATAGACCGTATTTTTCACATGGAAACAAAATTGTACCTTTAAAAGATAAAGCTAATCCAGTTTTTAGTAGAGCTATATACGACACATCATAGCAATATGAACCCAACAGAACTTAGATTTAGGAGGAAAGGATGTCAAAAAAGAGTTACCAAAGAAGCAGGCAATAAAGCAGCAAGAGGAACCCTGCTTCTTTCAGTGCCCAGTAAGGACAGATTCAGGGATCAGTCAAGGCCCTTGTGAACAAGACCTCTGTACGCTCGTAGCCTCATTTGTCGAGGTCACCAGATGGCACGCAGTGAGACGAGGATAAAGTTTTAGTACAAGGCTATCAAATGTTGCTGGGGAAAACCAGCTTCTAGTTCTGCCTCTATAGTTTTTATGTGGATGTTCACAAACCACTTGAATCAAACTTCTAGGTGGCCACTAAGCCTACATGTTCTACCTCATTTCTGCCACAGAAGCCCTGGAAAGTTGGGTCAAAATACCAAGCAATTAGTCACTGCAGAAATCAGTACACACACTGTTTTAAACCTATTCAATGATAGCTAAAATCTGCTGTTTTGGGGAGAATGTAGCATTGTGCAGCTCAGACTGGGTACCTTGAAGTGGAGATAGCCTCCCCTCAGCTGAAGGGCCAGTACGAACAAAATCGTTCGGTTGTGAACTATTTATTTTGTGGCCAGTAAGGGAGAAGAGCCCCAGAGAAAATGAATTGTTTTGCTTATGGAACTCAGATAGCACACAGTATTTACAACCAATATCACCTGTTGAACAAAACCCAAACAAAATACCAAATAGTTGCTAATTAAGTGAACATCCTGCATACTGAATAAGGCAGGGATACCGTGGAAAAACTGCCACGTGTCTGTATAATTAAAGGCTGCATCATACTGAATATACAAGAGGGCAAATTAACGTTGCTTAACTTTAATTCTAGATTTTGAGATCTCAGATTTGCAGCCTTAATATATTTTCTTTAATGCAGTTTGTATGTGTGTGTCATTTCCTAGGTCCTTAAAAAAGCAAAACCAAATTCTGCACTGTCTCATCGCTGCATGCGAGGTGGGATGCCTTGTAGGAAGGGAGCACTGCTGGGAAATGGCTTCCTCTGCACCTGCAGAGCCTCACTGCTCCCGTTCTTAGTTCTTAAGGGCTTCTTTCCCTGACCAGACTCCTCACCCAGCCTTTCCTGCGGGGGCACGGGGAGAGAGGCTTCAGCCCCAGAGACAGGGTTGGGAGCAGCAACCAACAGGCCCTGGGAAAACGGAGCTGCAGATTCTCCAAGATCTCACACTTTGCCAAATTTGGGACATCTGTCCTGGGCCAGAGGGCTCTCTCTGACAGTGCCAGCTCTGCAGCCCACTGCACAGGGTCAGCAGAGTTTCTAAAAATGCCAGTAAATACCCCTAGGTTTAGTTCTGAGCTCTGGAACTTGGCAGGGAGAGGAAAAAAAAAAAAACAACAACAAAAACCTGCAGGTAGCACTTGTGACATTTTAAGCTACACAGTTAAAGTTCCGCAAAGTTATAAACAGTTGTGAAATGGAGAACTATCAGACCACCTTGTGACAGATACTTCTTTCAGGGCTGTTTATCATCACAGACAAAAATAAATCCATTAACCGCATTTGGCTTTTGCAATATCCACATCATGTTTAAAGGCATTTAAAGAGAACTCTGCTTCAGGAAGTTGCCAGTGTAGCCAGAGAAATCACCTGCTCACCTCAGCAATAAGCAGTCTCCCATCCTCTCGAGGTACGTGGTGCAGAGCTGCTGGGGGCCAGCCCTGCACGCTGCGCACACCCAGGGCACACCCTCACTCCAGCACCTCCACGCAGCCCTGAACTCCCCGACCCCGGCTGAAGGAGTTTCGTCAGGAGGTTCAGCCCAGCTCACACAGGGCCAGTTCCCCTCTGACAGAAAGCCATTGTCCTCCTGTTCCTCCCAAAAGCCGCTGAGGCATCGTTAGCAGCACGGGAGCCCTCACACAAGCATTCACAATGCTTAATTACATCAGTTGCAAAACCATGCCTTATCAAAACAGTGTCGTTTTTATGTTAAGCCCTAAATAACTCTCTGTATAAACCCATGGATCACAGCAGGTTAACATCATGGGGATTTAATTGCCTCTGAAAACACGCCCAGCCCTGCCATGTCCAAACTGCTGCCAGAGTTTGTCAAAGTTCCTGGTTCTTGTCTCCGCAGGTAGACGGAGCGCCCCTCCACTGAACCTCACGGGTCTGCCAGGCACAGAGAAGCTCAACGAGAAGGAGAAGGAGGTAAGGAAGGGAAGGAAAAGGTAATTTATATCAAACATTATCCCCACGGCGCAGGTGTACTCGCACCATCTGTCCCAGGTGCTGTGAACATCACAGCAGCTGTAGGCCCTGACAACTTTTTCCTGCTCACAATAGCCACTCATTCCTCCCAGTCAGCTTAATTGCAGTTAGTGAATATGTACAACACGGCTGCAGCAAATTACCTTATTTAGCAAAGAAAGGTGGAGAGAGCCAAGGTGTCATTACATGCCATTATAACGTCCAGAAATGACACTGTCTTCCTCCATTATGCTCCAGGGTGAGCAGAAGGGTTATATTTTCTTAATGAACATCTATTTAAAAGTGGTAGAGGATTTCATTAAGGCCTTCACTGGACAGATCACTGAGCCTGAATAATGCAGCTCCTCTTGTGCTCCAGGTATCTCAAAGCCAAACCTCAACCAGCTGTGGTTGTTTGTTTTGCTTTGTTTTTGTTTAACACTGCTGTGAATCACGGAGGTGATAAGTGCGTTCTTGTTTTTTTCCATATTTCTGCCCTTTAATGTGTATATCAAGCTCTCTGTATACACATGGCAGAGCGGGGAATTTGGCTTTCTTTAAGCTATGACTTGTTAAGCTTGGCCTGGTGTTGGAGCTTGCAGAGCCACACAGAGCACTCTTGTAGTCACTTCAGGTACTCAGCGGCAGGGGGAAGATGAACAAAACACCCAGAAACGGGACCACAGTCCCCAGGAGAGGGAAATGAAGCAGCAAGGGGCCTGCCGTGCAGTTGTGGCTCGGTTTCTTTTGCAGCCCATTCCAGGCCTATCCTTTAATACAGCTGTTCGGTGAAAGACAGCTCTGAAAAGCTACCGAAATAAAAGGTTTGGGGTTGTTTGTTGTTCTTCTTGTTTGCTCGGTTAGTTGGTTTGTTTGTTTTTAAATAGAAGTCATAATCTTAGTTTGTCCACAAGGCAGGTTTCAGTGTTTGCGAAACATTTCAGAGATCTCCCTCTGTGTGCAAACGGTTTCCCCTTCACTGGGGATGGAGGCATTGAAAATCAGATCACAGGTTGACCATGGACCATGGCATTTCTGGCTCCATTAAGTGCATAAATAATTGTGACTAGGACATTAGCGTGTATGGGGAATCTGATTTCCTTGTCAGCTGAGACATAAAGTCTGAGATCCTCTGAATTCCGCAATTTCCTATCAATGAGGAGCAATCATTAAGCATTTCCTTATTAAAAGGAGGAGACAGCCGGTTTCTCCACTGGGAGCAATACAGCTCACCATCTAGAAGGCAGCTGGTATTTGGAAGCTAAATGGGAGCACAGGAGCCCCTGAAAGCAGCTCTCTGAAGCCTGCAGGAGCGCCTCGTGGTGCCTTTTGCCAAACTTCCAAGCACGAAGTGCAGTTTCCCTGCACAGTTTCCCCTGCACGGTTTCCCTCCTGGATTTCTGGAGGGGGCAAGCGTTGTGTGCATTGCTGCTTTTGTAGAAAGATATTAAAGACTCAGTCTGCAGGGGATTAATAGACAGATGCCCTCCCTGGCTCCTGTCCAGCGAGCTGAATTGCCGGTTGCAAGTCTCTTTGGCATGCGTACTTCCCTTGGTCTGCAAAGAACAACGCCCACACAGGACACACTCATAGTTACGCTCCTGTGAGCTGAGAGCCTGCTTTCATCCTCCTAGTTTATTTTTCAGTCAGGAATGTTTTTGAATGTAGCAGCCAGCAAGCTCCTCCTCTCCCTACCTGTGGATCGAAACAGCTCGTAATGCAATTACCCTGTGCCTCCCCCACACAAAAAAATACACTGGGAATGTTTTCAGGAAAATATTCACAATGTTACTCCCCCAGCAGAGATCACAGAATGGCAAAGCGTGACAAGCGTTTGTGTTTATTAACTTCGCCTTTTGTCTTCCAGCTCTGTCAGATGGTGAGGTTGGTCCCTGGAGCCTATTTAGAATATAAAGCTGCTTTAGTGAACGAGTGTAACAAACAAGGAGGCCTGAGACTTGCACAAGCTAGAGCGCTCATCAAGATCGATGTGAACAAGACCAGGAAAATCTATGACTTCCTTATCAGAGAAGGGTACATCACGAAAGCCTGAGGACAGGCAGAAGAGCTTTGGCTGGAGCAGACAGATGTGAAGAAGGTTTGAAGTCACTTGGACAGTGCTGAAACATTTTAACAGAGTTGAATGAAGGACATTTCTCATTGTCTGAAATATTTAGGAGCTTCTTTTTGTAAAAAGAAGTAGGAAGCTTTGTTGAGTTGTGTGAATACTGACATTTCCTTGTCTGGTTTCCTTTTAATTCTGCTGTTTAACACTGCTGTTGTCAGAATTACACCACCAAGTAGCACTGGAAAGGATCGTATGTCAAATAAGTTAATCTTAAATGTGAATGGGCATTCACTTCTAACACCTCGTGTAACTAAAAAGGGAATCACGGTACTTTTACTCTGACAGTGACACAGAATAAGGACAGAAGGGCAGCACGTAAGGAGTCACGCTTTTACTTTGTGTGAGTACAGGGCATAGAAATGGGTCCCCTCCCTTCTTGTACTCCTTCCTAAAACAGCGTCAGCTTCCAAAGGAGATAGCACATGCTGGAGGGTGTAAAAATAGAGCTTGCAATAGTCCGGTCTTTTTAACTTAATTATGATAAAGGATGGGAGAGGACATTCCAGGGAAGCTCCTCAGCAGTTATTACTTTTATGTGATACTAGCACATATCACAGCATGAGAGTGCTGTACAAACCAATAAGCTTCATCTGCTCCCTACTTGATCTGCGATTGCCACGTCCTATATAATCCTTCGCTTTAAGTCTTCTGATTTGGTTGCCCCAGCTCATTGGAAAGGCTGCATGTTACAAGCGGAGCGGAGCAGCCTTCAGAACATAAATAAAAAGCCACTCCATACCCTGACGTTCTCTCTCACAAAAGATAAAAAGTGAAGAAAACCACAAACCACCCAGGGCGTGCGCTTTCAGCCCTTGCTGCCAGCCTGAGCGTGTGCCCAGCTGGTCGACAAAGCCAGGACAAGGTGCAGCGAGTCACTGCACAGCCACAGAGCACCCGGCTGCATCAGAGCATCCTTCCTGAGACCTCAGTACGAACTATTTGCATTTGAAAATGCAGTTGGGTGATGAGGATGGTCCTTTCCAGATGCTGCTTGGCAAGGTTTACCAGACAGTAAATCGTTTATCAGCTTCCACTGCTAATGAACGGTGCAATTCGTTAGCGGGCTCTGACTGAAACAACATTCCGTGAGCAACCTAATGGCCAAAGCAGGCAGGGTGCTGCCTGCTCTCCACTTGGGGATCGTGTTGAAAAGCCCAGCCTGTAACTATACCGATGCCTATTGAACAGGTTTGGCTTTAGATTTTGTTTGTTTGTTTGTTTCTGCCCCCCTTCCCCAAGAATAACTATCCTGTGTACCTGAGGTGCCACTGAATGTGAAGTATTTTGGTTTGTAATAAAATCAAAATGATCCAAAATGCTCAAGTCTACATTCCTGGACTGTGAAGGTCACGCAACTGCCTGCGTCTGTACCCATCAGCTTCTCACCAGGAGAGAGGAGATAAATGCATAACAGTGGCTGCATGGACGTGGCACCAAGCTACCTAGTAAGTGCTCCTATTTAAAGGAAAGCAGCAGCAATAAATGACCTACTGGCGACTGACACGAAGCCTGCAGAAATTGAGATTGCATAGACCAGAAGTGCCAAGGGAAGGGACTAAATGCTTTCCCTGTTGTCTTTTTACACTAAACCAAAAGAAAAACTGCCTTTGCTCCTGCCCAGCCTCCTATGCAATGACTTCTACAACAAAGGAGTGCGTGAGACCAAGTCACTGGCTCTGTACCTGCTCCGAACACCCCAAAATTGGCTGCATCCCCACCCGGCACACATGAGTAACAGGAACAGGACTGCAAACATGACCTGCTTTGACCAAACGCTGCCGAGCTCTGTGCTTTGGGTAGCGCTAAATAATTCGGCCATCTGGAAAGTGTCAGGGAGAAAGGATCTCAGAGAGGGGAGAGCTGCGTTCCTTCAGCTGGACAGGAGGGGAACCAGAGAAGTTTTCTTTTCCTGGGGAAGCAGGGCTGGGATGTTTCCCTCGCAGAGCATCAAAGCAGAGAAACAACAGGTTTTTCTCCTTTCACAGGGCATCTCCAAAGCAGGGAAGGCAGCAGGCTTCCAGCACGCCTGTGCCAGGCTCAGCACCTCCTCGCTGCGCCCGCTGCCTCTGCCTGCCAGGCCCCAGCACCATGCACGCACTCGTGCTGGGAGGAGGCTGCGGGGTTGCGAGGCTCCATCTGAGCTGGGGACACCGTGGTGGCAGGGTTCTGGGCACCAGCACCACCCGTAACGCCAGCTGGGGTGAAAGGAGGAGGCACAGCAGGGGCTTCCTCTCTGGGAAGCTCTCAATAAAACAAAGCCCAGCAAGCACAAACCAATCCCACCCGAACAGCTCCGGCCCAGGCTGAGCTCAGCAGCTGGGCACTAAGCTCAGCTGGATGGATTTCGCAGCAGGTCGGGCTTCCTGGGGCAAGTTTCTCCAGCGCACGATCACTCGAGCCAGCGCCAAGAATCCCTTTGGTGACAAACACTGCGCGTTTCCCCCTCCGTGCCCTCCCCGGCACCGCTAAGCAGAGAGGAGGGCAGGCAGCGGGGAGGCCCCTTCCACTTTTTGCTGCCCACCTCCTCCAAGCTGCTGCTGCCCCCCGAGCCCTTTCCCGACATGCAGGGAAGGTGGCCTTGGGGACAAAGCCACCCCCGAGCTCCCGGCTGCCTCGCTGCCATGCCAGTCCCTCCTGCTCCAAGCCCCAGCTCCTCACAAAATGTCTCCGCCGCTGCCTGCCAGACCTGGCTCCAGGCTCCCCGGAGCTGGCTGGCGCGGCGGTGCCGCTGGGAGAGGCTTTGAGGCGGGGGGGATCTATCTTTATCCGCGCCGGGAAGCGCCATGTGCGGCGCTGGCACCGCACGAGTAATTAACAATAATGAAAAGTTGGGGTTGCCATGGATATGGTGTTCTATTTACAACGCGCATCTCGCCCAGCACCCGGACCCGCGCAGCAGCCCCAGGAAATCAGGAGCCCATTCACAGCCCCGCCGCGTGCTTTTATTTTTAACTGGAGCTCTGCAGCAGGGCCGCAGCGTGGGGAGCAGCACGCGGGGCTCCAGCGCTGCCCCTCCTCACCGAGACCCCTGGGCAGCTGCCAACGGCACAGAGAAAAACAGCAAAATATCGTCAGCCACCCCAAACTAACCAGTCACGATGTTTTTTTGTAAATAATAATAACAAAAGACGGTCCCCACGCACCATTTGAGAGCTTTGCTGCTGGCAGGCCCTCGTTCCAGACCCTGCTTTGGGGTCGGTGTTACTTCAGGGGAGGAAAATAAAAAAAGAGCCTGCCCGTGGGTTTGTTTTGTGCGCGGGGCTCTCCCGCACGGCGCTCGGGAATGCCAGAGCTCGTTGGCACACTGCGGGCTCTCTGCTAAGGATTGCAGTTGGTTTAATTAGAGACTCAGGTGAACATGAAAGATTAAATATGGAACAAGGCTGGGGAAGGATGGGAAGACAGCCAGTTCGGGTTCACGTGCCTATCTGGATCCCGGCAGCATTAATTACAGCGGAGCTCCAGCGATAGGGAGAGGCTGGAGCTGTTCGGTCCCTGCACCTTCTTGGGCACCTCTAGCAGCCGTCACACAGGGTGCGTGCACGAATCTTTGGCGCTGTTATTTGCCTGTCGTTAAAAATATCAGTCCTTTTTTTCCTCTGACAGCTGCAGCCACAGCAGCAGCAAACACCCTCAGCCCTTCGGTGACTCAGAGCCGGGAGCTTTGGGCTGCCCGGACCAGGTCCCGGGGGCTCGTGCAGCCCCCAGCACAACCCCGGGCTCCCCAGCTCCCGACAGACGCGGCAGGCTGCAGCGGAGCAGATAACACTGATAACAGAGTCACAAAAAGCCCCAGTTCTTGTGCCTGCTCAAGTTCCCTCAGGTGGGGCCGGTGAAACCTAAACCGCCACGGGCCAGGCCACACGCCCCAAACACGTCAGCACACCGCAGCGGTGCCGGGTTGGAGCAGCACGGGAACCCGACAAGCATCAGAGGGGATAGGAAAGAGCAGGAGAAACCCGAACACGGGGGAGCACTCAGGGTGGCCCGGCCATTTGTGGCTTGGGAAATCCCAGGAACTGCCTGGTCTGCACAGGCCGTGTCCTCGCAGCACAGCGGGGCAGTGCTCTGGGGACAGCTGCCACCGCGTCCCCAACAGGGGCGAGCAGGACTACGTGGGCTGCGAGAGGTGCAAGGAGGGGTGAGCGCCTCAGGAGGCTGAGCTGCCGGCCACGTCAGCCCCTCAGCCCTCACCTCCCCGCGGCACGGGGCACCACCACCACCCCCAGCCAGGCCATGCACACACGCTGCGGCTCGCGTGGCTGCTCAGCCCCGTGACTCAGTGGGCCAGCACCCGGATGAAGCTCACCCCACCCTCCCGGCACCCCTCTGCACCCAGCTTCTTGCTGAAGGAGCTGCCAAAACATCCCTGCGTTAGGGGACCCTGCACCATTCCCATCTCCGCTCGCCCATCTGAGCAGCCAGCAGTGCAACAAGGGCACCCCTCCAGCCACCGGCCATGGCAGAGCTGCTTCCCATGACCCTACAGAGCCCACTATCCCCCACAGGAGGAAGAGCAGAGGGAGAATTGCCCCCGGTGCGTGGTGCTTTCCCGTGCAGGGATGCCCGGGCTGCCAGGGCGAGGCGCGAGGCCGTACCCACGGTGACTAAGCCTTGGCACACGCGGCTCCCCGCGGCCGGGCGCACCACGCCTGGGCTGCGGAAGCCCTTCCAGCAGCGGCCTCATGAATCAGAGCACCGCGCGGGCTCCGCAGCATTCACGTGCCTTCGCTGCTGACTGCCGAGGTGGCACCGCGGCCACCTCCTGGGCTCCGTGGGCACGGGAGCTGAGCTGTCCCCTGCCAGGGCTCAGGGAGCACCGAGGACTCGCCCCATGGGTTGGATACACAACCTCTCTGCTTCCTTCATCGCTTGAAAGCGAGCAAAAATCCTGCTGTGTTTTGACATTCTCCTGCCTCCCTAGAGAGGCCTCTGGTGACCTATATTTGGCCACTTAAATCATCAGCGGTGACCTAAAGCTCAGGTTCTGTTTTCCCCCATTAACAAGCCGTAGCCTGAACGCCTGCTCAGGGTTCCCTCTGCTCCGTGCTGTCACCTCGCATCTAACGAGAGGCAGCCGATGGCTCCTCAGCTGGATTTTTCTGCGGGAGATCACTCCCTGCATCCCCATGGGGTCCCCGAGGCTGTCACTGGCGGGCTGGGGAGCGAGGAGGGGAAGGCAGCACCCCAAAACCACACCACAGCCCCCTGGGTGCCCCGAGGGTGCCGCTCAGCAGGGGCACACACGCCGCAAGGACAGCGAATGCCCGTGCTGAGCGGTTTGACCACCCTGCCGTGCTGTCAGTAAGGCAGGAGGTCCCGCGGCCCCAGGCCTCTCGCATCAGGCAGGGTCCCTGCGCCCTTCTAGGGCCGGGTAAACTCTCGTGTAACCATGGAAACTGGAGAGGATGGCTGGCGGCGGGCGCTGGATTCCTGCGTGCGGCGCTGGGGCCGCTGCGGAAACCACCGGCGATCTGCTCCCCACTTGGGCGGCCGCGTGGCCACTGCTGATCACAGAGCAGGGCAGGAAAACACCCCGGTGATTAAGCTAATGACCCTAATGACCGGCTGATGAACCGTGGGCCAGACGCACCCTTCGGGAATGCGCCCAGGACTGTGCTGCGCCACGCTCACCCCGGGGACGACTGAGCCCTTCCTGGGCTCGAGGATCCTCTTTGAGGCACCACTGACCCCAAACACGGGGCCTCATGGAGGGGGCCTGGTCCTGCTGCACCTCTCTTGCCCCAGCACCGTTTTTGTTTCTCTTCCAAGGGAAGGGAATCAGAATCTTTAAGGTTGGAAAAGATTTCCAAGATCACCTGGCCCAACCACCCGTAACGCACATCCCTACGTGTCTAGGGGAAGGAGGGGAAGCCCTCCATGAGCTGCCACCATCCCACACAGCCGCAGCAGCAGCAGAACACATCTCTGGTGGGAACCAAGGACAAGCAGGGCCTGGAGTGCCTAGTGGCACGCTCGCCTCTGGCTGAAACTGCCCGTGTGAGAGCCGCCCATGAGCAAACCCTGCAGAGGGGCTGAGCGCAGGGAGGAGGCGATGTTTCCTTTTAACTCCCGCACCCGCTTCATTTGCTGCATCCTTGGGTCAAAGGCCTCCAGAGTTTCCCTCTTTGCCTGCTCTAACCCGTGCTAAAAACACAGAGCTGCTGGCAGGGTGAAGGTTAAAGCCCAAATTACACCGGCACTAAAAGCATCCATCCACTGCTGCACGAGTAGTTAAGAACCACCCGTGACAAGCAGCCGGCTCTGCCCAGGAATGCATTTCTCATTTTGTGGCAGTCAGAGGACAAGGGGGATACG